AATCCCTAAAGGGCAGGAGAACGGGTATACACAGCACACAGGTGGTCTGATGACACAATCCCTAAAGGGTAGGAGAACGGGTATACACAGCACACAGGTGATCTGATGACACAATCCCTAAAGGGCAGAAGAACGGGTATACACAGCACATAGGTGGTTAATGTTGGACAGGAAGAAAGACACCTTTCTCTGAAAGAGGAGGAAGACAGTAAGACTATGTGTAGATACAGTAAGTTTAAATAGGCCAAAAAGCAGAAGTAGTTCACTATTGTTAGCAATTAATACCTCTCAGAATAGGTGAACACGTCCTCAGCTCAAAGAGGTGACAGAAAAGGGAAAAGGAAATAGGAGCTTTAAGAGAGTGACAAGAGAGGAATGAGGAAATTTACCTATGCCATGAGATGGTACCACTATTTGGACTCTGATTTAAATACACATTCAAATAATTTAAAATTTAATGAGAGAAAATTTGCCTTATGACTAAGTTTAAGAAAACCAAATTCAGGCTCGGCACCCGTAGCTCAGTGGGTAGGGCATGGGCCACATGCACTGAGGTTGGTAGGTTTGAGCCTGGCCTGGGCCTGCTAAACAAGAACTGCAACCAAAAAATAGCCAGGTGTTGTGGCAGGCACCTGTAGTCCCAGCTACTTAGGAGGCTAAGGCAAGAGAATCACTTAAGGGATTGAAGTTAAGAGTTTGAGGTTGCTGTGAGGTAGTTTGAGGTTGCCTCACTCTACTGAGGGTGACATACTAAGATTCTGTCTTAGAAAAAAAGAAAAAAGAAACTAAATTTATTTTTATATACACGATGAAATATTTATAGATGAAACATTAAGTCTTAAATTTGCTTCCAAATAAAGAAGAGTTTTGACTAAGTATAAAACAAGATTGGCCATGTATTAATCATCGTTGATGCTGGTACACTGGGTTCTTTATCCTTTTCAACTTCTGTATGAGATTTTCCATAATAAAACTTTTGAAAGAAACAAATTTAGAAATATACAATGGTGGCCAGGTGCTGTGCCTCATGCCTGTAATCCCAGCCCTCTGGGAGAGAAGATGAATAGCTTTAGCTCATGAGTGAGAGGATAGCTTCAGCTCAGGAATTTGAGACCAGCCTGAGCAAAAGCAAAACTCCATCTCTCCTAAAAATAGAAAAACTGAGGCAAGAGGATAGCTTGAGCCAGAGTTGGAGGTTGCTGTGAGCTATGACACCATAGCATGCTACACAGGGCGACAGCTTTGACTGTCTCAAAAAGAAAAAAGAAAAAGTAATATAAAATGTGAAAAAAATGACAAAAATTTCAATTTCTTTACCACCTTATTTAAGATCAAATAAAACAGAATTTCACCAACCTGTTTGCCAACTTTTTGTCTGTATCAGAGTGTTTCTTCTTCACTTTGATTTTTGGGGCAGGTTCTTGCAAAAGTGGTCTTTGAATTTGGGATGTACTTCCTTCCTCCTCATCTCGCTTCCTTTTTCTAGCTGTTTCCTTTCAAAGGTTTGAAGTTATGTTTGAAATCTCATCTTTTAAAAAATTTCACCCCAAGAGAAAATAAGACTTGTCACAGTTAAATCTCAGTATTTATTATAATGCTAAATGAAGTCAGTTATTTTAATCGAGATTCCTCTATTATTACAATAAAATGAAAACAAAATTTTACTTCAAGCAAATAGTGTTCTACCTAAATTGGCATCTTCTCTCCCTCACTGGCAGATCAAATAACGAAAGATTACTTAATATTAATCCTATCGGTCCCCCTTTAGGACATAACTTGAGTAGTAAGGCGCTGGTTTTAAAGTTGTTCTAAAGGGTCGTTCAGAGCAGAACCCAGTGACTTACTTTAGGCACAGACACGTACACGGGTTGAATCTGAGGCTCAAACGAGCTGAAGAGGGACGCCAGGCGACCCGGGTGGCCTCGGGAGGAGAGTTTGTCGTGGGATAAACTATTGGCGACTTGTCCAACCAGATAATCTCCGGTCGGATTCCCGCCAACACCGTCTTCTGCGGTCTCTCTAGAAACGGACGCCAGAATCTTAGCCACGCCACGCCCCACCGCGTCTCCCGCCGCCGCGAACGCACAACATCCAAGCCCAGCTACACGTGCGCGCGCCACTCACCCCTGCTCGGCACCTTTCTTTTTACTCCGTCTGTTCTTCCCGGCTAGACCCATCTTTATCTCACGGCCTCCGAGGCAGGAGCAACACGCGAGCCGCACTTCCGGGTTCCTGCGACTTCCGCTGCCGGGACACGCCCCTTCCGCCCCGCGGCCGCGCAGGGGGAGTAGGGAGGCCGCCGGGCGGGGGCCGACATGGCGGCGGAGGTGTCGGCGCCTGTTAGTCCTCGGGGACTGGCTGTCCTTGCCCTGTTTTAGAGAAACCTACTCTTGGGAGTGAAGGAAGTCTTCCGATAATAGCACAGGTCTGAATAAGAATTTTTAAAAAATGCTCTGGATAGCGTGGGCTTAGAAAAACAGGAAAGGAATCCACCAGGCTGGGAGCGGGATGTAAAACCAAGCGAAAAAAAATGCCTAGAAAACTTGAGTAGCGTAAGAGGAAGGAGGGGGCCGGACGGGAAATGAGGTTGCCTTCGGGGGTAAGGAAGTATTTCCAATTGTGAGTCGGAATGAAGAGTAGGCAGGAGTTCTTCGAACTCTTCTTACATCTTTTCTGGAATTTGACATTCAGAATGAAGTTAAGAGCAAATAGTTGGAGAGCACAGCTTTTGCTAATCACATGGATATACAAAATATGCTGCTCTGCTACTCTGCCGGGAAAAGTCAATGCTTGGCATTCACAACTTTTTTTTTGAGACAAGAGTCTCAAGTGCAGTTTCCCTCTGTAGAGTACCGTAGCGTCACAGCTCACAGCAACCTGCAACTCTTGGGATTACGCAATTCTCTTGCTTTAGCCTCCCAAGTTCGGGACTCCAGACGCCTACCACGACCCCCAGCTATTTTTTTTTTTTTTTTGTGGTTATCATTGTTGTTTAGCAGGCCCGTGCTGGATTTGAACTCGCCAACTCTGTTGTACACGGCTGGCGCCCTAACCGCTGAGCTACAGGCGCCCCCATTCAAAACTTTTCTATGTTGGTCTTGCCTGCCTGCCGTCCCAAAGTCATTGCTTTCCAAACCCATTTCAGCCAGCTTTTCTTAACGGCCTCTGCTCTTGTTATTCCTCCCCCCAATAACTTCCCTCTTTCCTCTTCTGCAGAATAGTACCCATCCTTTAGGTCCAGCACAGATACTGTTAATAATGAAATTTTCTCTGCCATTTACTATAAGGACGTGATCATTTTCTAAGCCCCCATCATAACTATCATCTTTTAATGTTATTTACAGTCTCTTTAGATGCAAAGGCAAGGCATTAAGGCTGTGTCTTACCCTGTATGATGTATCCCTATACACTGTGCCTAGAGATCAAACTTGTTAAATGGATGTCTGGGTAACCTGAGATTACTAAATTATTGAATAAGTTGGGTAAAACAGAATGACTTACAATCTTTTGGGAACGGCCTTGCTTTTTGAAAACTTTTTTTTTGAGACAGAGCCTCAAACTGTCCCCCTGGGTAGAGTGCCATGGCAACACAGCTCACAGCAACCTTCAACTCCTGGGCTCAAGCAAGTCTCCTGCCTCAGCCTCTCAAGTATCTGGGACCACAGACCCCGCCACAACACCCAGCTATTTTTTTTTTTTTTTTGGTTGCAGCTGTCATTGTTTGGCGGGCCAGGCTGGATTCGAACCCGCCAACTTAGGTGTATGTGGCTGGCACCCTTGCCACTTGAGCCACAGGCGCTGAGCCTTTTTGAAAACTCTTAACACAAGTTCACTGGGACTACATGTGGTCTCTTATATCCCCCATCAGATACGGTTATGAAAAAACCCACAGCATTCAACTGTGTGGGACTGGGCATTGATTACTAAGCCCCTTACTTTGATTTCCCAGAATATTGATCACCTGGTATCTCACAAAGATGACAAAAACCTATGTCCATTCATGCATGAGATGCAACTTATGCCTTACAGTCCAGTGGAGAAATTCTGTTCTTTTTTCCTCAATGTTTCCCAATCAATTCTGTTCCTTCTCCACTCCTAACATTATTCCAAGAATCACTGTGTGGCTGGAACGCTGCAAACTCACCCTTTCCATCTGGCCTTTCTGACTCTTCCCCTGCACTCTAACCTGTGTGTCACCTCATTTAGCCAGATGTCTCCTCCTTCACAGCCATTCTCAAAGCTTTTAATATGCTAACACTATGAATCTGTAGGAAGGATGTGCAATGGAGAGCATTTTCAAAATATATTTGAAAACAAATTCCCAGAGCATTTCCAGGGACCTGTATTCTAGGAACTCATTTGGGGAAGCACTGTTCTACCAATATGAAAACTCATCCCCTAAGCTAATTTCTATTGCATAAATAGTCATCCCAAAGATGCTTTAAAAATATACATTTGAACTTTCCAGGCCTCTAAGAAGTTTCTTTCTTTGTTCTAAAGAATGGATTTTCTTTTGATGGGAAGTCCACTAAACAGGGCCCCAAAACTACATTATTTATTTTAAAAATTTGGGGCAAAACAGTTTATCAATATTAAGGTTACTGGAGATCTTTAACGTTTTGATCGCAAACAGTGCCTATAGGCCTTCAAAGAAGATGTTCCCTTTGCTTCGCCTGTAGGCATTGTTTATTTTGCAAATACAGTTTTACAAAAATCATGAAAAAGGACCCGTATTTCTATTGCGAGTGTTGCATTTTTATGATGATGAACAAATAGTAGCGCACCTTGTATCCTAAAGGTTGTTGTGATCACTGCAAACCTAAACTAGAGAGTTTCCCCTTCGTTTCTGAGCACCCAGTAAAGATCAACATCAGGTATCAACCCAGACCAATTAAATAGGACTCTCTGGGGTTGTGGTCTAAGAGTGTTGACTATTGTTTTAATAGTGCCTGGCTGATTCCAACGTGCAACAGAGTAGAATGTACTAAATGATAAGAGACCAGCAAGGGCCCAATAAAATTAAAAGAAAAGAAAGCTGATGGTAATGGTTTCAAGTGTTTAAAATTTTTTGATTTTCCTGGAACCTCCAAGTCATAAGAATAATATTTATACTCTGACTCAAGCAAAATAGTTTATGCAAAGATAAAAGAATGCCTAACCAATCTCTTATCTGATTAATGGACTTCTAATTTTTATAATTAGAATCCCTTTTGTTATGTTAATCTCTTGTGATAATGGGTACTGGGTATACATGTTCCAGTCAGTATCACCTACAGAAATAAAGTAAAATTACTTAAATATTTTAGAAACAAAATCAAGGATTCACAAACTATGGCATTTTATTTCAGAGCCTTTGCTTACATTTGTACAATATATTACATAATTCTTCATTGTTTGCAGATCCTAATATATACTTTATAGCTTTTATTCTATAAGCTTTTTCTTCAACATTTTGCTGTCAACAAATCTTTACAGTCCTGTACAAATTTGAGTAACTTGAAACCATTTTCAACAAAATTAGTTACTGTAAGCACACACTACAAGACTGAAAATGCTTTTCTTAGAAAAGTTGAATGTAAAGGATTCTGACACGTTAGCATCTACAACAAAACGCTTTGAAATTCTCACATGTCGTATTGTCAGAAAACAAAACATGCCAGCCCCATCCAAAAAAAGTACACAGAACTACAATTAAAACAGTAAAACAGTCTGTACAGTAAAGTACTGTGTATTAACAGTGCCAGGTATTAAATAGCTTGAATGAACACATCCGCAATATACAAATGTCTTACAAAGGTGAAGAATTAAATACAAGTGCCAAACAGAACAGAGATTGGAATCATACAACGTAAACATAAAGTCAATACAAGTGAAAACAATTTTGCATTCATTTTGGATTTTATACAAGGCATTTAATTTTATAGGCCTACCACCCAATTAGCTATTTATATTTAAAATAACAGCCATCCTTTTGAGAGAGTTCATATCAACAATCTTGAACCATACTAATACTTGTTCCTGAAGTCCTTTTATTGTAGCTCATATAAAATAAGCAATACAAATGAATTATCTGTATTTAAGGGAAAAGAAACATTTACAAGAAAAACACAAAAATATAACTGTTATAATTCATTATGAATAAATATACACTTTGAACTGGCTAAGTACAATCTTTATACATTGTTTAAGATTTAATACAGTTTATTAGCCATTTTCTTTTTTCACACAATGTATTATATCAAAATTAAAAAAAAATACTGATTTATAGAAAAATGGCAAAGTACAGTAGTTCCATTCCAATTTGAAGGGGCATGAAAAGCCACTGCAAGACCTTTTAGCCTAATTCAAACCTGTAAACATTTTCAGTCTTTTTTAAAGAATCTTTACTATTTGGTTATCAGGACTGATGTCTAATATCCTGTTAACTGCAGGTTTTGAATTTATTATATGTGCTTGACTTATACAATTAAAGCCACCCTAAGGTGACTTGCTTTAAAAAACAATCAGCTTGTACAAATGAAAATAGGTTCATATTTTTTCATAAATAAATGGAAAAATATCAAATGTTCCAGCTTTAACAAAATACAAGGGAATACATATACAGTAAGTTATCTTAACATGTTCTGGCCCACCTCATAACTATGCTTACTGTATTGTCTCTACAGGCAGTGAAAAGCCTCCATTTGCCACAGTGGAAGGCCTTCAAGTTACCAGACACACAATTCCCGGACAAGTTGGAAACAATTATTGCTTGAGGAAAAGCAGTTCATTGTACTTTTTCTTCATAAAAAAAGTGCACTTAAGTGCCAAGTCAGCTTGTCAAGAAACAATTTTTAAATATAAAATAGTGCTTGTCTGATTTTTTTTGTGCCACTATGCAGTATAAAAAAGACGTGGCCCTCAACAGCCATTAAGTGCAAAGTGCTTTAGCAAGTCCTGCTGTCACCTGCACTCAACTGACATTCCATTTTGTGATGCACTGGACATTGACGGTTCAGCTAAAGTTAACATAACAGCAGCTGTTATGGAACTGGATGAAGGTGAAGAGGAGGATGAGGATGTAGCAGCACCTACGGAAAAGGGAGACCAAACCAGAGCTTAATAAAAAGTGCATCTACCAACAGGAAAAAAAAAAAAAAAGAGTCCTCTGAACTAAAATTCTATTGTATTCCTCAAAGCCATTTAGCTTGCAACAAGAACAGTCACTTTCACAGTAC